AAAAAATAAAAAGAAAAAAACATTTTTAATGTTCGTGGACGCTTTTTTAATCTCGTGAAAGAAGAATAAGAGGAAGACTTTGTCTCACTTCCATTTCACGAAGTGTAAGAAAAATCTTCTCCTTCGTTAGATCAACCGGCGGTAACATTCCGAGTGAATGAAAAGCATCTTTTAGTCCGTGGACTCGAAAAAGCGTTTCACTATTAATCATAGCGTTCGGCTAAGTATTAAACTAGCTTCCGTAAATTGCAAGAACGCGTAAGCGTAGCCCAAAGTGCGTTTACTAATTTCTTTCTACCAATAATCTTTCTTACGATAAAAACAAATATTCTCTGATCGATATTTCTGATGGTTCTTTGGCATTTCTCCTTGTCGCTATTACTTCGTATATCAAACAATTTCAACAATACCACGATCAGAGTCACAATGTGAAAGGAGGTTAGAAAATAACAAACTTTTCACGCAAACGCACTAAGGGAGGGTAACTACCCACGGAATTGAGGTATGTCGTTGGGCCATTGTCATTAATCGTCATGTAATCGTGTGTTCGTTAACTGTTAATGACGCGTACGTGTTTGACATGTGCGTGTCTCTGCGAGTGTAAATATAATAACATACGTAATCTGTATAAAATATGCACATTTCATAGAATTAAATATATCGTTTTCGATTACTCGTATAATTATAAGTATCCTTTGGGAACACGTTTCGAAATCGCGTCCCAATGCACGTGAGATAGTCGTGATCAATATCAGAAGACTTATCATATGTTGAGTTATAAATTATACTCTTTTTCTCTCACTGGCGAATCGAGAAGAAGCGGTCGCGTAAAAAAAGAAATAACGGCACCTGACGCTATCCGCCATTTGTAAAAGACATTCTCGATTCTTACTTAAAACAACGTAACACCTTTGCGACGCTCGATTTTTGCGCTTCATCGTCATTATCAATGACGGCCAAATATTTTTTTTTAGAAAAAAATTTGGTACGATACGGTAAAAAATTAAATACAAGAACTCAATTCCTTTCTACGTTTTAAACTCGATACGTCGATATATCGATATCAATAAATCAGGTATCGTAAAGGCGGTCCGTTTCTACCTTACAGTTATCGATTACATTAATTATACCTTAGAATGTCACAGTACTTATGTTCAAGGAATCGGTTACTTACTTTCAAGAAAGGGTTACTTTCAAGGAATGTCTTCAAGCGTTCTACAGCGAACGTTTCGAGTATAAAGGGACGTGTTAAAAAAAAGAAGACGAAAGAAGTAGAAAGAACAGGGTAAAAGGGAGAAACAGGAGCGCGCTGTTATTACAGTAATCAACTTATGAACTACAGACTTGCGATTAACAGAGAAAGGAGATCCAGGAGGTTCGGTTTACCGGAAGTGTTAAGGGACAGATCACGAAGAATGGTCTGAGAAACTCATTCAAAATCCCCAGATCGTTTCCCGGACGACGTTCCCACCAGCCAACATAGATGTTCCCGCTTTCTTGTGTCTTCTTGGAATGCATGCAACTGTTCTCTCGCCATCAGACAACGTTGAACCTTCAGCGGAATCACGTTCCATCTTTTCCAATCGGTAAACCGAATCTTCAGAGAAATAACTCCTCAAAATGGCGCGGTTAGGCGTTGTTACGACGTCGATAAAGCTACTAAACCGTGCAACCGGCGTCTGAGGTCGGCACGAAGTTACTTTCTTGTCGATAAAAGTCACCTTCGTACTCCTCCACCTTCACCGGGTACTCTGTCACGCAATTCTGAGGCTGGTTCAATGCCGGTGGTGGCTGCACGAAGTTCTCTTGGTAACTGGGCAGCTGCAAAGGTTCTGCAAACTGCTGGTACGAGGTATCCGTGCCACCTTGCTTCAGACAGGTCGGTCCATGGAGACTGAGCATGTCTACCAGCCTGCGCCTCTGCGTCTCCAGCTCCTGGATCTGCGTCTTCAGGTCGTGGTTCTGCGTCTCGAGGATCTCTGACTCCTGCACCAAGGTCACTGTCTTTTCCCGCTTCTTCAACCGACACTTGGTAGCGGCTATCTTGTTCCTCTCGCGTCTCCTTCGGCGCCTTTCCTCGTCCTCTTGCGTCAACTACAAGAATTTTAGGTCTTTAGACGTTGCTCGTGCATCTTCGAAATTCTGATATACGATATATCTATCTGGATCGATGGTATGAAAATAATATATTTCATGCTTCTGCGTTTGGGTCGTTGATCACGGTAGTAAGTATTGAACGGAATTGGATGAAATGAATGTCTCGTCTGACACGAAAACCCGTGAAATCGATGAAACGGCGACTTACAGCGCGAATCGCCCGACATCACGACTGTTTTATCGTTTTTACGAGAACAGTATGTGAGGATTTCTTACTCCACCGCGGCTGTTGTTGCTGCTCGCCTCTTCCTCCTCTTCGTCATCCGCGCTTCCGTCTTCCTTCTTCGTCTTCTTCTTCGTGTCGTCCCCGGTCCCGTTGGCTCTCCTCTTCGTCTGCAGCGTCAACTTCAGTCCTATGTTGTTCGGAAACCGAATAATTAATCACATGGCCAAAAACGATCATATGATCTCGGAATATAGAATATAGCTCACTAAGATACGTCAACATAATGCAACATCCCCAAATTCCCAATTATCCAACCCAAAATCCTCTCGAGCACTCCAAGAACCCTTACCTTCGAAACGCCAGAAAAACTCTAGCGAAAAATCGAAAGAATTCCCATTTATTCGTCACGCATTAATTACAAGACATTTTTCTATACGATTCCGCGACTATATCCAATCCACCCGTCGCTCCTTAAAGGATTCCTCTACCACTTGTCCCTAGAAAACCAGAATCGGCCACTAAATCCCGGATAACCTTGAAGGTATCGCGAGATTCGACGGGAACAAAAGAAGAAGAGCAAGAAGTCGACGAGAGGACCCGGTAGGATATTATCAAGGCCACCACCGGATGGGTACCTTCTTTAATGAGCTGACTACAGGTGTGCTGAACACTCGGTGGGCTCGGCTCACCGCTGCTAGTCGAGTCCGTACGGTCCCTGCTTCTCTCGTTCGTGTAACCCTCGAAGGGATTGGTCATGGCGATTAGGGAGTTTACGATTTCCGGTGTCCTTGGTGTGACCTCGGCCGCCGCGACACCGAGAAGACCCGCGGCAGCCGTTGGACTAGGATTCACGTTCACGTTCAGGTTGTACATGGTCGGTTTAGATTACCATTTAACCTGGAACAAGAACAGAGATTAAGAGTGCGGATGTGCGGTTGATGGTTGTTTCAGTTGGTTCCAAGCGAATCAAGTCTCTTTATAGCCTGTTTGCAGCATTCGAGCTGGCGTTCAATCTTCGACACCGAGGCTGCCTCACAGGGCTCGTAGCAAGAACTTTATTACTTGTTTCGTCACTTTGGACTCTGATAGAGACGAGCTTTATAACGTGTAATTGGCTGGAAACTTGAATTATCCGAGGTCTCGAAACGGTGAAAAATATCGCGTTTTTGATAGGATGTGAGAGTTCTCGAGGTTCATCGAGGGTGACTATAGACAGTTCAAGCTTCCGAGGAAGAGGAGCTATCGAATTGGAACAAATTTATTTTTCCAGGAAGGAAGTAACGTTTGTTAAGTCCTGGGAGATAGGAAAATGACTTAATTAAAAAATTTGGCGACTTTATAGATAGATTATGGAGATTTAAGTCCTTCTAACCCTTAAGAATGGGTCAGAAATATTCTTAAGGCTATCTAACTATCTAGTTACTAAATGTTACTATATTATTACACCAGGATCTACTCAGTCGAGTAGAAATAGACTTCAGAACTTCTTTTCCGGCATAACGACCGCGGAGCAACGAAGTAATTCGAAGCAACTGTTCGATAAATGTTACCAGCAGCTTATCGAAGGATCTCGCAGCGTTAACGACTCCGGTTCGTTCCTTAAATAATTATTTCCGTCGGAAACAAAAGGAAATCTTTGCTTTTCTCACGTTCAATAGGCGAGCGAGCCTATCGATCTCGCCTCGCGGAATTACCCAATAGGATAGAGGAAAATAAAACGAAAAAGTAAGAAAAGGGAAGACGGGGGAAAAGGGAAAAACAGAAAGGAGAATTTTTTTTCGAACCGGTTGCTTCCCGTTCCTGTCGGTTTATCTCGGATCGAACGTATCTCCAGAGAGCAGGGAATAGGTTTCGCTGATAAAAACGGAACGAAATCTCTGCAGCTTGTGGCTGCGTTGTTCTATCTGCGACCCACGGAGAATTTCGAACGCCTAATAGCCGCAACATCCTTGATTGTGGTTTTTCCCGGCTACCGAATTAATTAGAAAGGATAAAGATGGCGGAAGTTCGTTATTATTTTAAAACGCTATTACAGCGAACTTGATTTAATTTTAAAACATTTTTCGCAATAGTCATCTCAGCTGATAACCTTCCATCGAGGTTTGCTCTGCAATGGAGAAGAGCAAGATAAACTTCCTATTTTCCTGAATGGTTCTCCATGGTCTCTTTACTTCACTCGTTACTTACGTTACTGCTCTTCGATATTTATTATTAATACGACTAATTTTTCGTATTACCGGTATTTTATTAATCGACAAATTTGTCAGGAGACTTAAAAGTAGCAAAATCGAGATGAAGAAAACGGTTCGAGCTTGTGGCACGTTACGACTCGTAGACGTCAAAAGTTTAGCAAACAATCCGACCCACTGGTGCATGGAGGAGCGACTAAGTCTCTGGAATTATCCCAAGGAGCTGCTGGTCCCAGGAAAATTCAAATACGAGACGCGAAGCTTCTACATTGTAAATATCTCGAAAATATTTCCACGAATTTGAATAATAGCGAGAATAACCACGTGATACGGAGTTCACAGAATTTCGATAAGTATTTCGAGATCTAACGGTTTTCTTCCCGATCGTGATCCTTCGATCACTCGTCCCGTTGGATAATTCGATAATTTGCGAAAACGAATTAGCAGATTTCCTCCGCTGTTGAGTAACGTTTGAATGGTGATTTACCGGAGCTAACTGGATCTCCATTCCCCTTATTGTGCATTCTTTTTTCCAGGGAACGAGAAGCTCATTGATACGGCCTTGAAAGCGCGGCTATTGAGCTCGAATCGATGCGAGGAACAAAGAAGAATTGAAACCGAATCGTGGAACGCTGATAACAGGACCGGAAGCTGAAGATACCTATCGACTAGCTGGACTATGACTATTTCCGAATCCTACATCGGTTTATTCTTAATTTAAAAACACATGGAATACGGAGAAAAAATGAGAAGAATATTTTTAATTACAAATATACTTTCAAATGTAAACAAAGATGTATCATATTTTGAATACAGTACGCTGTAAATTACAAGAAATAATTATTTCGAATTTTTATTACAAGCCTATTTAAACAATGCACTAAACAGTGAATTAAAAAAATAATTTACCATGAAACATTTATAAAAATAAAGTATATTAGAGAAATTAATAAACGCTACTCTATAGAATATTCCTGAAAAACAGTTTCGAAATGTGTGTTCGAAATCTTCACCAAAACAAACATTCCAAATATGGCCGCCTTCTAAAATAATCTCTAAATCTCCACTAATTCATATCCCACGCAAAAAGTCCCAGGAGCCTAACGCACAGGAAGTAGCAACCGAAAAATGACCATCACACTCTCCCGCCAACGCTACCTATTTATCCACCATGATCCCCAAAGATCGCACCTCGCGCGTCCATTATCTACCATGCTGCCACCTTCCGGTAACCTTTCCACAGCCAGCGACGCTTACGTAACTGGCTCGCGGGCCGCGAATCAAAAATAACGAGACAGGACGCGCGAAAAGCCGCGTCCCGGCGTGTCTATAAACCAAAAGCGAGACGAGAGGGGAGCAGGAACGAGGGCTGGGAGAAAACGTTAAAAGCTTGTCAAACGGTCGTCAAAAATACATTTTGACGTGCGACCGGCCCCACGTCGAGTCTTGGCGTGTCCTCTAAAACGAAACGGCGCGTCCTCCAGCGGAGACTAGGTTTGTTTTCGAGCGTCGAATTCCTGTGTTGCCCAACCTCCTTCTCCGCGACGAGGACCTCCCTCCAACTCAGTTTTGCCGTTCTTTTTGTGAGAGTGCCAGTTCGCGGCGCGAGTGTGCGAGAGACGAGCACCGAACGGCGAAGAAGGCAGCCCGCGTTTCGTAAGAATTTTATCGTTCCGTATTCGGAGCCTAATGCCCTTGCAACTCCTCCTCCGTAGCCTTCTACGGGCTCTCCCCCGCCGCTACGCCGCGCGACTGCGGCAACTGCTACCCCTTCCACTCCGCCGCTCCCCCCGCTAAGGTCCCAACACTCGACCGCTACCCCCACCACGCAACTGTCGCGGGCCCCGTGGCACGGTCGCGCCACTAGTGACCAAAAAATCAACTTCCTCGGACCGGATCTCCGTCTCTTACGGATTCGGCATCCCGCAGCCAGACCGGCTGTACGACACGCGTATACCCACTGACCTATATGCACGGGAAGAGCTGTCGCGAGGGGTCTCGGACCTTCAGGGGTAGAACGAAACTGGCAACTTTTTACGAATAAACGTTTCGTAAACCTTTAACTTTCAGGCGTTCGATTATACATACAATTTTCTTTGTATCCTATCAACACGGCTGTATTATCTCACGTGTACTCGTGTATACACGAATTTTTTAAAGTACCGGTTTTTTAATTTCGATTATTTTGTAAAGTAATTATTGGGAATGATTTACTGAATTATTTATTAATTCTGCTTGTTCGATATATTCGATTAGTGAATGCTCTGGAGGAAGGTATCAAGGAACTTGGCAATCGATTAATTATAAAACCAAGGATATAAATTTGTTTTAAATATACGTAGAAATTTAAGTACCAAAATCCGAGAAAATGGAGGTAATCACTTCAGCCTGAGTGGTTCATTTCTCACTGTAACTAGATGCAGTATACTAGTTTTAAATAATCCCTTAGCACAAGAACTGCCAACTCTTCACATGTAACTAATTATACAGTACATAAATGATAGTAATTGAACTAGTATAATGAAGATTAACGAGTACACATAAGCACGTTTCCATTCGAATAAAAGTAAACGCTAATTTCCCCTAATTGCGAAATTTCGATTACTTTGGTAATCACAATAAAGGGGAAAGAATAAAGAAAAAGAAGAAAAATGGAAAGAGATCTAAGATGGCGGAAATAAAGGATTTCGCGAATGAGCGAGTAGGCCTAATTCCCTCTCATTTTCCCTCGCGTATTTATTCACACCGATTAAACGTAAAGATGATGGCGAGGAATCCAGCGAATCGAGGCCACGAAGCGGAAGGAGGAAGAACGCTTAGATTTTGAGACTGAGCTCTACGAAAATAGTCCGGCAAAACCGCGAAACAAACGCTACACCGTTATTACACCAAAATCTGCATCCGTTGACCCCCGCGATGCATGTAAATATCTCCTCTCAACCTTGCGAATCATTAATCGGGATTAATTTCGAAATAACATGCGACGAAAGGTGCAAAATTTACGAGATGCTTCGCGTTTCCAGTTCTTTCATAACGTTTGCAGATTTTTGAAAGAAACTACAACAGCGGGGAGCACCACGTTCCTCTAGATTCTCGTCACTTTCATCGTTTCGCTATTTATTGGAAGACTCGAAAGATTCCGCATCTTCTCTTATATTTTTATTTATTAGCACACCGATATATCTTCCTCGTGGAAAAATGTTAAGCGTCTCGGGAATCCATCAGGAAGAATAAAAATATCCGCAGGATACGACGTTCTGACAAGAAAAAATATCGAAATCTTCGTTCGGAGAAATATTCCCTAGAATTTGCGAACCGATCGAGACATTTTTCACTCGTTTCATTCTTCAAACCCAAAACAATCACGGCTGAAAAAATTCGTTCTCTTTCTTTCTTCCAAGCTGAGGAGAAAATTTTAATCTTTTCTCGATCTTGAAACTATCATATTTGAAAAGAACAGAAGAAATAACAATAACAGAAATAATAATAATAAATTGAAAGATTGCAATGAAAAGGTACAACGATTTTTCTTCACTATCTCTGATATTCGTATTAAAATCCAAAATAATCATAATTAAAAAAATTCTTTCTTCTCTACACACCACCTCCTCTCATCCCAACCCGAAAAAGATTGGAAATTGCAATGGAGGAGCATAACAATTTTTCTTTCCTACCTAGTTTATTTGTATCCAAACTCAAAATAATCGT